TATTCCCTCTCATCACAGTCTCTGAGATAAGACGATATTGGGGCTCTATGACTGCTTTGATTATCAATTATTACTCTTTGTCGCACTTTAAAAGGTTATACCGCGCAGCGCACCATCCGTGTCTCCGTCGCCCCTTCCCCGTACTACTTGTATGAGCTGAGGCTCCTTCTTATCGCAAACGCCAAAGATGCCCACACTCCGATGCGCCTCATTTCTTGTCAGTTGCTATCACTTTCTATCATGCACTATCTTGGTCTCCGTCTTCTCCCAAATAACACATGAGTACAATCGTTCTGTCATCGCGACTGGCGTGGCGAAGTTGCCCATCCCTGCATTATGACACCCTTTATCACCGCCTATCAATTGTTATCAATTCCCGCCACCAACTGTCACTACCCCCATCCCGCTCTCTTCATCTTACCTACACTTTAGCGCTGTACGTTTAATGTGAGCGAGGCCGTCCAGACTGTTATGAATTTCCGTTCAGACATACGCACAACTACCACTACCGGGTTATATTTAGAAGCATTATTGGTTGTATCAAAATTGACCAACATGGTTTCGATGAGCTGTAATGCAAACAAACAATTTTAATAATCATCATTTTGGCCTTGTTATCTTCAACGTACTGTCAATGATTAGGCGGGCTATCAATTCGTCGTTCGAAACTTGCCAGTGCACGCTTGGATGGCAGACAGTAGGGAGATTTGCTGGCCGCTGAAGTGTATGCAGAGGTGATAGAGGAAGCACTGGTCAAGAGAAACCTGAGAGAAAACGGCTCTAGACAAAATAGATAGAGCATCTTTCTTGATCGAGATCGGTTGCAAGTTTCAATCCCGATAGCCGATGCCATGGTAAAACTTCTACCTTTCTTTAGCAAAGCATCGCATGGAACTAAAGAATACGAATGATTTGAACTGGAATGAATTTTTAGAATGAAGGGCGAAATATGACAAGAGCGGTATTAAGCGACCGTTCCTTAGTCCTCCACTTAGAGGTGGAGCTCGCGGAACGGAGAGGGCTAGTTTCTCAACTTGCGACGAGAGCGCCCTTAGCCACGATACAAACTTTCCCTCGCCTACTTGAAGGGCGATGTTCTTTCATAATAAACATATGTCTCCTTATTTCGCAAGTAAGTTATTGTGACATCCGCATTTATTGTGAAATCAATTATTACATTTCTGCAGCTAATGTGATCTGAGAAGAGATAGCCCGTAGAAGCGTGGTTTGGGCTAGAGGAAAAATACACTAGTGTGCAGAACTTAGACGAAGTAACTTTCCACATGATATCTAGTTGCTAGCTAACCTAGGTCGATCAAATTTGGCACATATATAGAAGTAAATGTTGCGGTACAGTGCAGAGAGTTACTAACAGAAAAGCGCAAAGGGGCGATTAGAAAAGACATTTTTCTTCAAATACCCTGTCTGAAGCGGTCGATGGGTGAGGCTCCAACTCATGGTAGACATTCAAAAGAGAGGAGCTGGTTCTTGATGGGGTGTATGAACACTACGGACTGCAAAGCATGCTCTGCCACGTGCTCCAATACTGGCCACAAGGTTGGTTAAGAGTTCTTGTGGAGAAGCGATCCATTCCTTGAAGACCGATTGACAACTGCTGGACAGTTGTTGGCGCATGGGGATGCGCTACAATAGCTCTCCTGAATGCACGCCACACGTGCTCCATAGGATTTGACTGGGGTAAGCGGGCAGGCTTCCACCAATCGCCGGAAATCCTCGCTTCTAGTTTTTTTTACCTGGGCTGCTCCATGCTCTCGCAACTTGTCTTTGGAAGTTGAGGTCAAAGGCACCTTTGAAAAGAAGCAAAGAAGTGAGGAGTACAGCGTCACAATAACAGAAAGAATTTCGCGATCAGGAGTTGGGAGGTTGGTACGCCCTTGCAACTTTATGCCTCCCCACACCATATCGAATAGACTATCAAAAACATGTTGAACGATGGACTGGGTGCATGAAGTGATTCTATTCTCGTCACATGCGTGAGTAATTCCAAAACCACTACTCGCATCCAATTTATTCTTTTCTGGGAAGAACACTCGATCACCAAATCGGTGGTTCATCGCTAAATTCAGGAACTAGCTATTTTCCCACCGATGCGGTGGCAGTGGGAGGAAGGAACAGCAGATACTGTTGATCGGTTACAGAGAACATGTCTATATAGTGCTGTACCACTGTTCAGCTTGGGGTTACATGCCTTATTGATAAACCAGATTAGTCCCCCGTCAACCGCCGGGACCTTCCTTTCCTGCGCAAGCTTTCTATCCTCCGCTATGGTCCCTTCCTCCTGTGACACCAACACCTCCTGGAAGTGACGCGTATGCAACACAATGGTGTTTCAAACAGTAGAAGGGACACAATCATGATATGACGGTAGATTTTTCGCTTCCCTTCCTCATCCTCCCTTCCTCTCTCCACTGCCCTCCAGCTGCCACTGCAGCACCAAGTGGAATGAACGGA